GTTTGGTTTGGTTTTGGTTTCCTTACTTTGAATGCATCTTGCCTAAGGGCTTTTGATCCAGCTGTTTCATTTGCCTGGAATATTCTTCCCACTAGATAAAAGGCAACCATCTCTTTGAAGTGTCTTTTTTCAAGCAGCCTATGCTGACCACTCTATTAAATCTGTAGCCCCTTTCCTGTTCCATTCCCCACCTATTTACTCTGTACTACTTGTTTATTATTTATAGTCTACTCTCCCCTCCTCACAGAATGTAAGCTCCAAGAGGTCAGGGATCTTTTCAGTTTTGTTCACTGATATATCCCAAGTGCCTAGAAAAGTTCCTAACACATGGTAGGTGCATAGTAAATATTTGTGGGATTTATGAATTGAGTCAAATAATCCAGGGCAGATCATTTAGTGAGTTTGTATCTTCTTTCTAAGTCTATTATGTGGAGATACCCGCTCCCCACCATGAGCTGGAATTTATTCTACGGCAACTGAAACAACAACCCATCTAATGGCTTTGTCAGGAGTGTCAGAATTAGTGATTAGTAGGTGTGTAGCATGTGAAAACTTTTGAATAAAGTGCTATATAGATGAGATGTGATATTATTGAATAGAATTCTTTGCTTGTCTTTCTCTTCATCAGTACCAAGCAGTTATTATTTGGTGTTAAAGTATATATATAAATATATTTAGTATATTTTATATGTATATGTATATATGTGTATATGTATATATCATATAAAAGGATCTATAAGTATAGTTTATAGTATATATGTATAGAGTTGTGTTGTGCAATAAGGAGCTCTGGTAGTGTAGTGGGTAAGGCATTTGGTTGCTAACCAGAAGGTTGGCTGTTCAAACACACCAGATGCTCTGCAGGAAGCTGAGACGGTCTACTTCCATAAAGATTTACAGCCTTGGAAACCCAGTGGGGGTTGCTATGAGTCAGAATTGAGTCGATGGCAGTAGGTTTGGTTTTTTTGGTGTGGTGGCGTAGTAGTTAAACCATTGGGCTGCTAACTGAAAGGTCAGCAGTTTGAATCCACTAACCACTCCTCAGGAGAAAGATGAGGCAGTCTGCTTCTGTAAAGATTTACAGCCTTGGAAAGCCTATGGGTCAGTTCTACTCTGTCCTATAGTGTTACTATGAATTAGAATTGACTGAGTGGTACAATTTGTATATGTATAGTGTTTCTTTAGACTTTTATGACTTATTCCTGAGTGTAATTTCCTGAAAGGAGGATCACATGTAATAATCCTTGTTTCTTAAATGAGAACCTTGAGGTAAAAATAAATTGGATTATTTCTCCAGATTATTTAATTTTGGGGGCTGAATTAATAATAATAATAAATGAAATAGTCCTGAATTCTGAGGCTGTGGTAGATTTGTTCACTAAGCCATATGTCTTCTAAATATGTTAGTATTGAACACTAAAGCATTTTGGCAATCCAGTTTTCTTATTAAAACAGAAGTTGTTTTTTTTTTTTTCTTTTTTAAAAAAAAGGCCACCTCTTTTAGTGATATTTAATCGGGTTTGTTGTTGTTGTTATATGCCGTGGAATCAGCCCTGACTCATAGTGACCCCTCCTTGGGTTTCCAAGGTGGTATCACTATGGAAGTAGATTGCCCTTTATAGTGAAATATGTGAGAGCCAGAAGTCGGTGGACTGCCTTGTTTTGCTGTATCTCACAAGTTTTCTGCCTTTGACAGGATACAGTCTTGCCATTTTTCTTTTGCTTTCTATTAGTGGAAAATACTTGACTTTTTCTTCTCTGACACGTTTCTGCTTTACACACATTCTGG